CTAGTTGAAGATGTCCCTGCCCATGGCAGGGGAGTTGGACTAGATGACCTTTAAAGGTCCCTTCCAACCCAAATTATTCTATGATTCTAGTCTGCTGCTTCCTTGTTTTTATGCTGTATGTCTGTTTACATTATTGGCATGGTAGCTGAATTTTGACATTCAGAATAGCTGTGACCCAATAATCTAAATGTGGAAATTACTTGTCTGCTGCTTCCTTGTTTTTATGCTGTATGTCTGTTTACATTATTGGCATGGTAGCTGAATTTTGACATTCAGAATAGCTGTGACCCAATAATCTAAATGTGGAAATTACTTGACCAACAAAAGAGAAAATCACTGGGAACAAGTGGAGAGTTTAATTTTGCCCTTTCTAGTCATCATACTGACCCTTCCATCCTGCAGCACTGCAGATGGCTGCCTGATCGCTCACAGATTCTGCCAAATAGTGAATTGACAGTACTCAAGGAAACTACCAAAATCTTTAGGTCTGTGTGGGTGGAAGACAGAGATTTCCTCTCTGCTGGTAGTGTTTCTGCATTCTGCATTATAAAATTTCCTCACAATAGTTTCTGCATGTGTAATCCCTGCCATTTCACTTTAATGTGTATTTGTAGTCGTTTTGATAGTTCTGCACCTGAGGAGTAACTAGATGGGAGACATAATAGCACTAGCCGAAGTCTAGACTGTCCTTCTAGATGAAGGTTGGGCACTACTCCTGACATCTAAAAAAATGTCAGTAGGTATTGCATTTAGTGTCCATAGCACTATTAGATTTAAACAGCTAATAATTTATGAAGTGGTAATGTAAAATGTTAGGATTTATTTTTGTTTGAAAAGTGTGATTTCAAGCTATCAATCACATTATGTAAAGTTCTGGAAGAAAAAAAAACCCTGTTGGTAAAAACTTTGGGAAATTGAGCAAAAAGCAAGTTGTAATAAATAAGTTACAGATGTGAGCTTGGTTTTAGCCCTGATTGCATTGGAAGCTCAAGGACATTCCATTTGGCAGAAGCTAAAAAAATTACCTTCTTGGTGAAATCCCAACTCCTGAACTACAAATGAAAATTTTTTCTTTTTTCATGGGGGCAAAGGGTTTGGGTTTTTTTTTTCCTTTTTTTTTTCTTTCGGTTTTCCATGCTAGGCCGAGATGTCAGGCTTTTCATGCTAACTATAAAGGAAATCTCACTTTGGGCAAAGTGTTTTTCTTTCACAGTTGAATTGATGGCAATTCGTTTGGTTTTTGATTTTTTGTTATTAGTCTACTGCTTGTCTTTAAGCTTACAGAGTGAGCTTGCATTTATTTTACAGGATTTCCTGTGGTATCCAGAAGTTAATGGCTCTATGAGGCAACGTATCAAATCTTGGACTGAGGTTTGTCTTAAAAAACTGTTCATTTTAGGAAAATACAGCAGCTGACTGAGGACTACTACCTTTCTTTTTTTTCATATACACAGCTATAATTACTAGGAGTCCAGCAGATGCAGCATATCACATATATTCAGTCAGTTATGTACCAGAGATATGAAATTTAACATCAAAATAGTGAAAGGGGGATGCTTACTGGTGTGTATGTTTCTGGGCATCTCCAGGTCTCACAAGGATGACTTCACTTGGGCCAAAAAACCCCCAAACCAAACCAGAAAAACCCTACTTCCTAGGACCAGGTTGATTCATCCTATTAAGAGCTGAAAGGATTTTACTCTGATGTGATGTTTCTCTTCCTCTGTGTCTGCGATGGCTCCGCTTTTATGTGACCGAACATTTTTGATCCTTACGGATCCCTTCCAACTTGAGATATTCTATGATTTTACATCTATGTTAATTTGAGTGTTCCCAACTGAAGGACAAAGGCGACTGGAAAGTCAAGAATGCCTTGATTTTTTTTTTTTTTCAATATTTCCCTCAAATTGCGTACTAATTATTTTACGTTTCAGTTATGATATAGGTTGTCATGTTATTCAGCATAAAATTATGTACGTAATTCTGATAACGAGTAATATGTTTACAGATTGGCAACAAATTTTTCTTCTTTCTTTCTTTGTTGACCTTTAAAAAGACTGGAGTGATTTAGCAATGGCCCCCGGTGATTCTTTTGCTACCCTATTTGTCATTCTTGCATGACACCTTCCATCAAGATAGCTGAAGTTACCATTCGTTTTTCTGTGGTTACTAAAAAAAATTGAGAGCTGCTAAACCCTTGCTGTGCCAAGGCAAAACTCATACTGAGGTGATCAGCACTGTTTGTTTCCTTGTACTCTTCTGTTTGAGTACATATTCTGTTCCTTGTCCTAGACATAACTTTCAGACCAGGGCAACAAGGACAACAACTGTCTGTTGTCCTTGTTCTGTTTTTGCAATGTGTTTATGGTCACTTCAGTCAGTTGAACAGCTCAAACAGACGTTTGAGAATGCTGAGAGACACTGAGAGAAAAAGTACTTCAATAGTATGATCTACAGTTTACTTGACCTTAGGAGGAGATGTTTAGATAGCTTTTAAAGAGAACTTATGCTGCTAAATTGATAATGATTGTAAGTGCTTATTGATGCTTTGCACTTTTGCAGATTCTGTTATGTGAAAATTCTGGTATGTCACAAATTGATGTTCTCTGTAATATATCTGCAGTCTATTCTTTTGTAACCATTAACTGATGGACAAGTTGAGTCACAGTTAATTAAGATATGTCTTAATTAACTTGATATAATAATAAGTATAATTTGTGAATATTTTAAAACAAAATTTCTTTTTACTTTGTGTCTTAGGGTTCTGTGGCAAAACCTCATATAATTGTAGCAGGAGCTGCCACGGTAAGTTATACATGTATGGGTATTTTAATAAAGAAGGAAGTTCTAGTAGCATAACTTTTATGCTCTCAAGGTGGTTACATGATGAAGTTATTAAACCCAATTTATAATAAAAAATATACTCTCAGTGAATTTTCTGTTATAACAAGTAGTTCTGAAATAGCAGATATATTGTATTATAGCTGTGCGATGTACAGTACTTGCTTTTTGGCAGCAATACTCATTAATAAGCATTGATTTGCTTGAACCTAGCTAATAAATAAAGTAGCCTCTTTGTTAAAAGCAGATTATTCATTTAAAAAGTTAAATAAAAGTACTTGCATACTAACTGAGATGCATTTTTAATAAACTCTCTTCAGTCACAAAATACTGCTTTTGAGCATGGCCCAATCTGGAACGCTCTTTCTGAGTGCATATATTTCTTTTAGACTTACATGGGCAAAAACCTGAATTTTACAAGAATAATTCAGCAACCAAAGACATTGCACTTCCTGAATCTTGTTCCACTGGAAGTTTCCACCACTGCTATGAGCTGCAGCATCACAGAAAACAGGGCTGACAAGGACCTGAAGAGATCTCCTAACCCACCAGTTTGCCACAAGGCAGGATCAGTTACACCTGTGTCGCGCTTGACAAGAGTCAACCAATTCTTTAAAACTTCTAGGGAGGGAATTCAGCAGCCCCCCCTAAGTAGTCTATTCCAGTAGTTGGCTGGTACTGGGAGTCAAGAGTCGAACAACTGCTCATCTCATTAATTCCACATTTAATGTCCCTTACGTCCAAATATTTTGGAACTGGAATTTGAAAGGCATTAGCTATTATAAATTCATACCAGCTCAAATGTAGAGGGAGAAAATGTGTTCCATGCTCCTGGGCATGCCAGTCTAGGGGGAATTCCCCCAATTTTAGGGGAAGGTCCTATGTGTATGCAGACTTCCACACATTTCCTGAGGGATCAGAAATTCTCTTGTTTCCTTACAGATGAACCCCCTAAATTCTCTTCCTCTGTAGGATCCACGTAAATATTGAGCTTTAGGAATCTTAGTAAGCCTAGAATATCTCTGCTCAGTCTGAGAATCTAGCGTGTCTTACTAGCATGAGTCGTACTTCACACAGAAAATGCCATTATATATGGATAATGTTCTGGCATGCAGGAGGTCATGTTGCAAAACTACAGGACTCTTAGCTAAATAATTCCTTTTAATTATATATATACATTAGCCGTAGCTTGTTGTCCTTTGTGGACAGCAGGAGATACAAACCAACAATATGTATGTGATGCTCAGCTCTTTATAACACCAATATATTTACACAAAACATTAATAGTGATATCTAGAGTTGGCCAAAGACAAACATCCCCTATTTTAAGGGACTTGCAGAAAAATAAAGTGCTTCAAAAATCTGATGCATCAGCAACATCACCATGGCTAGCACTAGTGTGGTAACCTGCTGCTAGATTAAAATGTGTGCCCTTGGACTTATCAGCATTTTGAAACTTCCCTGTATCTTTAACTTAGCTCTCGGTTTGGTCATGCTACTTTGGTCTGGACATGTCTGTCTTAAGACATCAACTGCATAACAGTTTATAAGTAGAAGTAAACTCTTACAAGCTGGAGAAGCTCCAGCTAGTACACAACTCAGTTGCTTGCTTATTCTGGGAAAAGGAGATGCTCTGAGGATGTCACTGCAGTGCTCTGCTTCTTAGTTCCTGGCTTCCTGTTGAATAGAATATGCTTCTTAAAACGTCTTTTAAATACTGTAGGTGTTTCACGAGTAAAGATTTAGCTACTGGGAGAAACTACTTTTTTTCCAGAGTGTGAGTTCTCAGAGCAGCTGCATGTTATTTGGTTTCATGAAGTATTCGTTTATATTCGATAATATTCTCATGAAGTGGACTAACCAGTGTACTTGGCTTACATCAAAATTTTTATGTTGATATTTAGAAATAACTAGAGAGTTCACTACATACAGGCTAAATTATTAATTTTTTTTTTTTTTACACATTTTGTCTAAATTAGTATAGATACAGTAATACTTTTAAAAAATGCTAAATCTTTTTTTCCTACAGTGTGGGAGATTCTTTTCAGAAGTTAGGAGACATTCTTGGGTAGCTATAGCATTCTCCCAATCATTTCATACAGAAGATTAAATCAGAAATTAAAATGGCTCCTCTTCTTTTCTTTTTTTTTCTCTTTTTTTCTTTTTGGATATCTGCAAAACATTTTTCTCTTTTCTTTGTGGATATCTGCAAAACAGATGGAAATATTGGAACTCAGTACCACCATCAAGCTTTTTTCTGTGGTCAGTTTTCCTAGAGTAAAATTGACCGAATTGGCCATGATTTTTTTATAATGTGACTGGCTTTGCTACTTCATCATTGTTCAAAGTCATGGGGCTTTTAATTAAAATACCTTGCATCATTTAATTTATGAAAAATCAAATACACATTAAGTTGAATATTATATACTCTGTATTTAAATGATCTGTTTGAATGTAATTATCTGTCTAGACAGCTGCTTGTTCAAAAAGAAATTTTTTAGCACTTTAAAAGCAAAGACTAAAGAAATAATCTAGCTTTATAGAAATAATGAAAAATAGCTACTAACGAAGCAATGGAATCAGTTAATTAAGGGTCTTCTGACATACAGGTTCTGAATCTCTTTCTTTGTTTCTCCAGTGGTCTATCAAGATTCACAATGGCAGCAACGAAGCCCTCACACAATATAAAATCAATATCACTTCAATTGCACCTCTTTTGGAAAAATTAGCAAAAAATAGTGATGTTTACTGGGTCTTACAAGGTAAAGTAATGAACAGTAGGTAACAATTGTACTGTCACTGTCTGTTGAATCATTATCTTGTAGGATACGGAAAACTTAGTCCATATTGCTTACTTGCAGAGTAAAAAGGCTGTTGGTTGAATTCCGTTCTGGCCTTTCTTGCAACCTTAACTAGCTGGTACCTAACTAGCTGTTACTAGTGATGGAGATTTTAAAGCGCTCTCAGGAAAATCTTTTGCCTTCTGAATTCTTAATTCTTTGTTAGCTTACTCTCAGACTCAATATGCCAGGTTTATTCTCCCTGTGCTGTGCTCCATACATGCCTCCTGGGAGTCAAGAACACAAGTGCATAAAACAGCTGTATTCCTGTGTTTGTGTTCAATTAAATTTTCAGATTACATAAATAATAGGAGAGGTTCAACGAGTGCATCCTCTGTGTGTGTCTAGAATGAATAGACGTACTCTAGAGAATACAGAGAATTTAAGTCTCTAGGATGAAACTTGCTTCTGTACACTTGAGCACTGATGAGTTAAGGTTAGGCGCCAGAAATCATGGTTGAAAATGAGTCTGTGATATTTTTCTTACGGCACCACGCTTACATTCTTTTGCTTTTCTTCAATAAAACCTAAGGTATGTCTCTGACACTGAACAATGAGCTCATAGGTAGAATGCGTTTCCTGGTTTATCTGCCGTAGAATACGGCATTTTAGATTATTACCTCAGTTAGAAACATAGGCAGATTTTGAGCCCTAATAGGAATATACCCAGCTGTACCCTTACAGTCATATCCAAGTTCCTATCAAAGATGGTTCTAGAGGTTAACCTGAATCAACAATCTTCTTGCATTCCTTTCAAAACCATGTTTATCTATAACAGAAACAGTTAGCTGTCAGACATGTCCCAACATTCTGTTGATAAAGATCCAGTCCATTTAAGTCATCTCTGAGCTCTTTAATGGAACGAATAAGAGGAAAAGCAGCCTGTACACACAGAGTTGTCTAGCATTGGTTGTCCAAAAGTAGGCATTGAGGTAGCTAAAGTAAATCAACTTACAGCTCGTAATGTGTTTCACCAGAGTTATGAACATCAGTAGCTTTTCATAGCAACTTACTGATCTCCAGCTGACCTTTTGATCTAAAATTCCGTATAGCTTTGTGTTAAGCTCTACGTAATTTCTGAAGCCTGCAGGCAATTAAGTGGTGTTCCATTCTTCCGAAAAACTGAAATTCTGCCATCAGTTAAACTGGAATCAACAGGAGCAAGTGGAATATGCTTATGGACTATGACTTAGAGAAATGAGAAGCTGGTTTCTTCTGCAGTAACTAGAGGGTTTGAGAGATTTTTTTTTTTTTCCCCCCACATGTCTATTCTGCTGTCTATCTTCTGTCCTCTTGGCTTTGGAGTCTTTCCTTGGGGGATTCCATTGCTGAGAGAAGGCATAAGCAGCTCTGCACTCCAGCATTATACGTTCTTCATGGGTTTCGGGAAGTTAAACAGGCATTCATGTCTGGCTAAAGCTTTCTAATCTATAAGTACATATGCATGACTAGGGAATGGCGATAAGAACATTTCATCATAAACAACTCTCGTTACTACTCTAGTTACTGTAACAGTCACTCATTCCTCATTGTACATTTTTTTCTGTACCATTAAACAATTGTGGCTACCTAAATGAAAGTAGCCTGTACAACTTGAGCTAAGTATTTGTCAAGTAGAAGATTAATGTGCCTGTTCTTTGTCCTTTCAAATTCAGACCCTGTTTATGAAGATATGCTGAGTGAAAGTCGGAAGATGATCACTAATGAGAAAATAGATGCTTATAACGAAGCAGCTGTTCGTATTCTGAACAGCAGCTCCCGAAATTCCAAAGCTAAAGTTAAAGTGTTCAGTGTATCAAAATTGATAGCACAAGAAACTATCATGAAGTCTGCAGATGGCCTGCATCTCCCTGAATCAAGCAGAGATACAGTAAGTGTTTTTATCACTGGTCAACATCAAAAAGTAATAATAGTAAAACAAGATTTTAAGTGAATGTTCTGAAATGGCAGACAATATGAATGTAATGAGGACCTGCACATTCTTCAGAAAATTTTTTTCAGAAGATCTCAATAGGTGGGAGGGCAGTCAGTTGTATAGGATGTTTAAAAAACATAATAGCAAACACATTAATGCGTAGCTATTTTAAAATAGCTGTTAATCCGCTAGATCTTTTAGATTCTGAGTGCAAATTTTGTGCCTTCATCTGTATGAATGAGTTAGAGTGATAATGATTTGTAAAGCAGTGCTAAGAAATAAGTCTTAAATTTTCCCCTATGTGCCCATATAATTTTGTTTAGTAAGGAGTATGAAAAGGGTAAGAAAACACACAATATACACCTTTGTGGTTGCATGGAGTGCCAACTCCTTTGCAGGTTTCAGTTGCTTTCAGGTACTGGATGAACTAAATATCATTTAACCACAGGTTTCAGTCTCTTTGTCATGTTTTAGAGACTTTAATTACCGTGCCCCTTTAGGACCCAAGTTTGTGAGCTGTTTTTAATTTATAGTCCATTTAGCTCAGTATAGCTCCTTTTATAGCCAGTAGAGAGAACCCTTCTGTAAGGATTAGGATTAGCTCTTTTTGCTTACCTCAAGAAGCTCAAAGGTTTCCTGGTTGGAAGAGATGTTTTGACTGTACTGTTGAATGCAACTAGGTATATGGGGTTACTGTGAAATTTTATCTGTGTAATGGTAAGGGAGAATTGCATATGTTTTATGTCAATGCATGATCTAGAAGAAAATTTCTTACGATGAAAATGTTAACTTTTTTATTAGAGATTAATTGACAAAACTGCCTATTTCTTTGACAGAACGCGATGATTCTTATGAATGTCTACTGCAATAAGATAATGAAGCCCATTGATGGCTCCTGCTGCCAGCCTCAGCCTCCTCTCACTCTGATACAGAAGTTAGCTTTCTGTTTCTTTACTTTGTCCATTATCGGATATTTAATTATCAATTTAATTCATCGGAATAATTTTCGGAAGAACAAATCATGCACTGATTTGGAAGGTGGAGAGGAGAAGAAACCTGCCATCAGCACCCCTAATGTTTCTACTTTAGAGATGCTCTTACACTCCTTGTGCAAACTTGGTCTAATCATGACCTATTTTTATCTATGTGACAGAGCAAATCTTTTCATGAAGGAAAATAAATTTTATACACATTCATCTTTCTTCATACCAATCGTCTATATCTTGGTTTTGGGGGTATTTTATACCGAAAATACCAAAGAGGTAATGATCACATTGACATCCTACTTATAACGTTGTTTTCCAATTTGAGTGTAAATAACTAATTGCTAAATATTGAAAGCTAAATTTTCAAAGTCAGTATAACTCATCTGCAAAAATGCACTCACAAGCAATATAACATTTGCATGGAATTAGATGCAAAAGCTTTTTGAAAGCATATGGCTATGAGCGCTTTTAGCCATTGTCACTCAGTCCAATTTGAAGTGAGCATAGCTCAGATACAAGAGAGTGTAGAGCACGTTAAAATCTGGTAGACCTGTGTCCACTAGACAGAAGTCTTTTACAGTTGAGACCTATTTACCCTTAAAGTGGTTTATTGTTTTGAACTTTTTCTCCTCATTTTGTAGATGTTCGTTGTACTTTTTGGAATAGCAACACTCTTGTTTTGTTTTGCATTAGACTAAAGTGTTAAATAGAGAACAGACTGATGAATGGAAGGGCTGGATGCAACTTGTTATTTTGATTTATCATATCTCTGGAGCAAGCACAGTAAGTGATTTGAATTTCCTATTTTTTTTTAAGTGGGAATGCAATTTGGGTGTGTTACTTCAAAAGAAAGATAGTGCAAATGCGTATTAGAGTTGAATAGCATGAATAACTCATGCTATTGTTCCTGTAGTTTTAAAAATGGTATTAGCAGAATTAGTTTTTCTCTCTAAGTGTAGATTTCATTGATAAGAGCATTTTATGCATTACTTAGCTAATGAAAAAATATACTTGTTTCCTCCATGTAGAATATTATGTTAGTTTATTTTTAACTGCTAGCAACACTTCATTTTTATGTTCAGAACTTGAAACTGCTGAAGGTAAGCCCTCAAAGATCCTTTCTTAACTCTCTTTTAACTGGTTACAGAATATGGACAGTTTAAAGCAATAAATAACAGAAACTCATTTTAACATCAGAGAGGTTAGGGCAACAAAAGAGCTTAGTAAGAAACAGGGAAATGCAGCATAATGTTTCTTTTCTTAGTTAAACCTGACTTACTGCAATGCAGAAAAAACGTAAAATAGGGGGGAAGAAAGGAAAATCGAAAGCATTTACGTGGCCATTTATGAAAGGTACTTTATTTTTCTCAACAGTTTTTGCCTGTGTACATGCACATTCGAGTTCTGGTTGCTGCATATCTGTTCCAAACAGGTTATGGACACTTCTCATATTTTTGGATAAAAGGGGACTTTGGTGTATACAGAGTGTGTCAGGTAAGAATATCTACTTACCGTTTTTATAAAGAAATTTGTTCAGATAACAAAATACCCATAATATATCTGTACTCCCTAAGTAATGTGATACAAGATTACTTAACAAAGGTTTGCACATTCAAAATGGCTGTTGTTTCTATGTAATCTGACCTGTTTAATCAGTAATATTTATCTAATACAAACATATTGTATTTGTTTCCCGCCTAGTGGATGAGGGAAAGGCTGTGGATGTGGTCTACCGGGACTTCAGCAAGGCCTTTGACACCGTCTCCCACAGCATTCTCCTAGAGAAGCTGGCGGCTCACGGCTTAGACAGGTGTACTCTGCGCTGGGTCAAAAACTGGCTGGACGGCCGGGCCCAGAGAGTTGTGGTGAATGGA